ACAAAGTCAATGGAGATAATGCCATTCGAGGGCAGCTGCTTAACCATGTTGTATCTGCGACGAATATGTCGAGACTTACCGTTATACACAAAATTTTGTGCCCTTTGAATCGTTGTTTGGTTGTCACAATGAATGCATATTGCGTGCACAGGCTTAGGCCATAATGGAATATCCTCGAGGAATTGTCGAAGCCACTCTGCTTCTTCCCCAGCTTTATCTAATGCAGTAAACTCCGACTCCTTCGTGGAATGAGCTATGCATGTTTGTTTTGAGGATTTCCAAGATACAGCCGCACCTCCGAGAGTAAAGACATATCCACTAGGTGATTTCGATTCCTCGGGATCCGCAATCTAGTTAGCATTGTTATACCCTTCAAGTATAGTTGGATACTTCCCATATCTCAATGCATAATCCTTGGTGCTCTTCAAGTAGCCTACTACTCTTAGTAAGACAGACCAATGATCTTTACCAGGATTACTAGTGTGCCTACTTAGTTTACTTACAGCGTAAGTAATATCCGGTCTTGTGTAGTTCATTAGGTACATTAGACTCCCGATGATCTGTGAATACTCTAGTTGCCTCGTTGAAACTCCTGTATTCTTGCAAAGGTGAATGTGAGGAAGGAAATGATTTGTTTTTCTTTTGATCACAAATTCTTTGAATCTTTCTAACATCTTGTCTATGCAATGTGACTGAGATATAAAGATTACATGCGGTATTCTACTAATTTTAATGCCTAAAATTGCATCAGCAACACCCATGTCTTTCATATCAAAATCGTTGATTAGCATTTGTTTGGTGGACTTAATGACTTCATCATTAGGCATAAGAATCAGCATGTCGTCTACGTATAGACAGACAATAACACATTCATTTATAGTGAATCCATCATTGATCATGACACTATCAAACTTCTCATGCCACTGTTTTGGTGCTTGTTTCAGCTCGTATAAAAACTTAACCAATCTGCACACCTTGTGCTCTTGGCCTTTAGCTTGGAACCCTTCTAGTTGTTCCATGTAAATTCCTTTGTTCAATTCACCATTTAGAAACGCAGTCTTCATGTCCATTTGATGTATTTGTAGATTGTACAGAGCATCAATTACAATTAACATCCAAATGGATGTTATTCTCATTACAGGTGAATATATATCGAAGTAATCAAGTCCTTCCTTTTGTCGATATTCCTTTGCTACCAACCTAGCCTTGTATTTCTCAATAGATCCATCGCATTGTAATTTTCGTTTGAAAATGCACTTACTCCCGAGTGGTTTACTCCCTGGTGATAAGTCAACCAACTCCCAAGTATGGTTACTTAGAATGGACTCGATTTCACTGTTTACAGCTTCTTTCCACATTTGTGCTTCTAGTGTAGACATAGCCTCTTTGAACGTTTGAGGTTCACTCTCGAGTGCATATGCTATGAAGTCTGGACCAAAAGATTTAGATACTTTCATTCTCTTACTCCTTCTTAGTTCAACTTCCTCATTGTTTGTTGGTTCATTGGAACTTTCATCCCTGAACGTAGTTTCGTGTGTTCTTTTCCCAGAAGTCTCACTATTATCCCTCTTATAAGAAAATATATCTTCAAAGAACACAACTTCCCTTGACTCAATAATCATGTTCACATGAATATCAGGGATCTCTAATTTATGTACCAAAAACCTGTAGGTACTGCTATTCAATCTACAGTTTTTGTTCCCAACTTGGTCTTCTTAGGTAGTGATGTTGGCACCTTTGCAAGGCACCGCCACATTTTGAGATAATGGTAGGAAGGAGACCTTCTATGCCATAACTTAAATGGTATAAGACCGAGTTTCTTGTGGGGTACCCTATTCAGGATATGATTAACGGTAAGCAGCACTTCCCCTTACAAGTTTTGTGGTGCTCTAGAACTTACAAGCATGGCATTAACAAAGTTATGTTCTTCCTCTCAGCAATCCGATTTTGCTAAGGTGTATAAGGTGCTGTAGTTTGGTGGATGATACAAAAGTTAGCACACAACTCATTAAACTCTGTCGATTCATATTCTCTTCCTCGATCGGATTTGAGAATCGTAATATATTTGGTTAGTTTATTTTCCACTTCAGGTTTATATGTCTTGAACATATCAATCACCTCGTCTTTACTGTTTAGAAGATACACATAACAATATCTAGTGTAGTCATCGATAAAAGTAATGAAATACTTTTTCCCGCCTCTCGTAGGCGCAAACTTCAAGTCGTATAGGTCATTGTGAATCAACCCTAAAGGTTTAGTGTTACATTCAATTGAATGAAACGACCTCTTAGCATACTTTGCTTCTACACATGTTTTGCACTTATGTATTTCATCCAGGTTAAGTCTTGGAATATGTCCTAGATTGGACAAGTTCCTTAAGGACTTATAATTGACGTGCCCTATCCTGACATGCCACAAAAAAAAAGACTAAAGCAAATAAACAGAAGACTCTTCTTTATTATTAATCATTTTTGGGTACAAGTACAGGGACTTCTTGTCCACAACAACAACATTTTCCTTAAAAAGATCATCCAACAAGTAACCCTTGCCCACATAAACCCTACCCTTAGTGAGTACAAATTTGTCAGATTCAAAAACCATTTTGAAGCCCTTCTCACTCAACACTGAGCCTGGTACCAGGTTCTTTCGGATATCTAGAACATGCAGCACATCGTTCAGAGTCAAATCCTTTTCGAAAGTCCACTTCAAAATCACCTTGCCCTTTCCCTCAACCTTAGAAGATGCTGAGTTTCCCATAAAGAGATTCTTTTTATGTTCCAACTTCTGGTACTCAGTAAACAACATTCTGTCCGAGCACGTGTTTGGTTGCTCCAGTATCGACCCACCAATCTTTGTAATTGGTTGTCAGGTTCACTTCTGAAACAACAGCAGAGAGGTTCATGTTAGCTATTCAGAGGAGATGTGGTCAGTCATATTGGCATGTGGCTGATTTTTGTTCTTCGGATGGTTGCGACACTCGTTCACCTTATGTCCAGGATTGTTGCACACAAAGAAAGTACCCTTGAAGTGTTTTGTGCCTTCCTGGTTCTTGCCCTTGTTTCCCAAGGGTTTCTCATTCCTCTTCCATTTCTTGAAATTATTGGAATTGGAGCCCTTCCCCTTGGATTCTTCAACCATATTTGCTTTTGCCTCATAGGAGTTCTTGGAACCCCTCTTATCAGCTGAGCGATTGTCCTCTTCGATCCGAAGATGGACTATGAGATCCTCCAGACTCATCTCCTTACACTTGTGCTTCAGATAGTTCTTGAAATCTTTCCATCCAGGAGGTAGCTTCTCAATAATAGCTGCAACCTGAAAAGATTCAGACAAGGTCATACCTTCAGCCTCAATCTCAGAATGAGTTGGATCTCCTGGACTTGGCTGATCACATCCTTTGCATTCACCATCTTGTACTCCAGAAATCGTCTCACGACGAACTTCTTCGTACCAGCATCCTCAGTTTTGTACTTCTTGTCGAGACTTGCCCGAGTTCATTAGCCGTCTTGAATGGACTATACACATTGTACAATGTATTTTCCAATGCATTCAGGACATAGTTTCAGCAAAGGAAGTCTCCATTTTTCCATGCATCGACCACCAGAACGCTATTCTTGTCAGCGGTATCTAGTGCTGGACATTCCTCTTGTAGAAATTTGGTCAGGTTCAACGTGGTCAGATAAAAGAATATCTTTTACTGCCAATGCTTGAAGTCCTTCCCACCAAACTTTTCTGGCTTGTCATGCTTCGTCACCAGAAACAGTCCAAACACTATAGTCTGACTTGGAATAGTCATTATTCCTTGATTTCCTCCTTCTTGAGGGGTAAACATTTTTCTACACATGCACAAAATTAATTAGTAATTAAAATAAAATTATGGGTCTCCTGTTTGATTAAGAGAGATCAAAGATTAGTGATCAAGATCTCGGTAGAAACAAAAATAATTACTGAATATAATCAGATGAAATAAAATTTTAATTTGTCTTAAGATTGTTAGTTTCGTAGTAAAATAATTTAGTATTAAATCAATAACCGAAATCAAATTGAATAAAATATTCCTGGAAAGAACTGTTAGGAAAAGCACTTTTGAAAAGGACTTTTAGAATTACTGGAGTGAGGTACGTCAAGTGACAAATCTCCTTAAGACAAATTACACCCCCTGCAATGGTGCTTACAGGATGATCGGATGTTGTCTTGTCTCCCAAGATACAACACTCATTCACAGCTTCAGAGAAGCACTTTTGCAAAGTTGTACTAGCGAATCAAAGCTAAATGTGTCTTCCACCACTTGACCGGAAAGGAAAACGAATGGAAGAAGAACGAACACAAAATTCAGATCTCTCTTAAACACACTGGATTTGATTCAATGTCGAGTTGTTTTTGGGAATGAGATTTTGGGTTACTTTTATAGAGACTAGGTGTCTTTTGAAGACATTCCTTCACCAAAGGACCCACCCATTCAGAATAAAAAGAAGTGATTGTTCGGGTTCGAACAGACACAACTCAACCGAACAGTTGCGATTCTTCGTGATTAGATGTGCTCATTAAACTTTAGTTTTGGTCCATCTTCCGACTTGAATATCTCATTCATTCGGAAACCGATTTGGACAAGTGAGTATACCAGATTCCTTGCCTTTGAATGAAGAACGTGTTCAAACTCAATCTCATCCATTTCGGATAGTAGGACCCACCAAAAAGTTTGGCTCAATTTACCCAAAAATTCACTTAGAAAAATCCAAGTTTCCCCAACAAGCCGCACACCGATATGACTAGCAGGGGGGCTCACATGGCAGTGGATTGGCAGCCCATTTTTACAAAATGAGATGTCAACTCATATACGTTATTATGGACACGGGCGAAAGAAGAGAAAATAGTGGCCATGTTTTTAATTTCAAGTACTACTAGTGAATAAAAGCCTGATTAAATTCATGTTTAAACTTCATTCAGTTTTCGCCAGATATATATTAATTTCACATTTCTTATGGTTTCCCCCAACAATTCAGATGGCATTTCTGTTAATGCTGAAGCAAATAGCTAACACTGAAACTAGTCCATTTGATGAGGCCATCAAAATCGAGCTCTTTCAGCTTTTTATCGGAGTGTACTCGTTGCCCATCGAGCTACCAGGCACCAAGTATTATCACGCAGTTAAGGTAAAATTTTCGTCCATTCGTCGTCGCTAAATTTTTGATAGTTATGGTTGGTATAAGCCCCTCCAGTTATGGAAACCAGATGTCTTCATGGATAAAAATTACTGTATGAATAAAATATCAAATATTCAAATTAAAAAAAAGATAGTCAATTAGTTTCTCGTTCATTCTTGACAAATTCTCTTTTTCCAGGCACGGAAGAAAATAACACGCATGTTCACGGAGATTATTGAGGAGAGAAGGTCTTCTCCGAGCTTGCACCAGGACATGTTGGATCACTTATTACGGAGTGACGAAGGATCGAAAGCAAAAATAACCAACAATGAGGTCATCGATTTGGCCATCGCTGTGATGTATGCAGGTTATGATTCTGTTTCCATGACTTCGATGCTGGCTGTAAAGTATCTCCATGACCACCCAAAAGCGCTTGAAGCTCTCAGGGTACGTAGTTAGAATTAATTGAACGTTGAGATGAAATGCCTTTTTTCCGTTGACTTGTTTTCCATTTACAGAATGAACATCTTGAGATCAGAAAAGGGAAGTTGCCTGAGGATGCAGTCAACTGGAGCGACTACAAGTCCATGAACTTCACTCGTGCAGTAAGCAGATGACACTCAAATTTTGAGCTTTTACAGGTTTGAAAGCAGTTTATATGTTTCTGCAAAACTTATGGATTGATTTTCTGTGTATTGTAGGTAATCTTTGAGACTTTGAGAATAAGTTCGCTTGTTAATGGAGTTTTAAGGAAAACAACTCAAGACATAGAAATGAGAGGTTGGTTCTCATATTTGGCGGCAGGATCGATAATTGGCAAATGTGTACTCAGCGGAGATAAAAATTCAGTATTTAGTAATTTTTTCTTCAGAACAAAAACCAATGCTTAGCGCAAACTCTAATTTTTTTTCCCCAGGATTTGTGATTCCTAAAGGCTGGAAAATCTTTCTGTATTTCGCGGAGATCAACGATGACCCTGAATCTTCATCTTTCAATCCATGGAAGTGGATGGTAAGTTTGCATGAAGTAGACTAATAGAATCATGATTTCTATAAATAAAATTAAAGAAAAAAATCTATTTTTTTTCTCCTCGCAATAATAATACCCAAATCGTTGACTGCATCGTTTCACGTCCAAATGAAGGATAACAACTCGGAGTCGCATCAGCTAGTATTCGGGGGCGGCAACAGACTCTGCCCGGGGAAGGAATTGGGCCTGGCCGAGATTTGTACATTTCTTCACTACTTTGTTACCAGATACAGGTACACATGCATCATTCTTACATTTACGTAGCCGTATAGATACTCGGAGTTATATATATACTAGTTTTTACACACGTGCAATGCACGTGATTTAATACCATGAGTATTTTTGGCAGTTTGTGCTCATTTTTTTCTTTAAACTCTTACATCTCGATTATTTTGTTATGTTTGTTTAAATGAGATACACCCAATTTAAATTTTCATGTTGATATTTGAATTGACAAAAAACAAATATAATTTAAAAATAATTTGAATTTTCATATTATTTTTGACCGATATGAAACTAAGCTTTATTTGAGAAAGTATAGCATTGCAAAGTGAAAAATATTAAAATAGTGTTATACAAGGAAGGTGAATATTTAAAACCAATATGGCAAAATGATTGATTTAAAGTATGTTAAAACGATGCAAAAGAGAATATGAAGTTTATTCCTAATCATTGATAGACTTCATAAAAAAATATAAATTAAAGATTAATGCTAACTCTAGTATACTTTTATATGATAAAAACATCCACATAAGAATATAAAAGTACTGAAAAAAATTCATGAAACTCCCTTCTAAAGATTCCTAATTTCACTCAAAATAATTAAACTATTCTATAAAATATTCATAAAATATTGTTTTTATTTCTTCTATTTTATTTTTTATTGAGTTAAGATCAATCCTTCTTCAGGTTTATCATTTATCATTTCTCGGACAATTCTAGAGTATTGTCTTCATCATCTACATCAATTGTGACATCAGGCTAATTTCTCTATCCCTGTTATTTTTCATAAAGATCTAAACTAAATACCTGCATTATTCATTACCAATTTCTCTTAGATTATAATATTAATATTTAATTTGAAGAACACAGTATGGAATTTATGAATACTTACTAATTTTTCTTATGTCTTTCAAGGAGATTTTTTCTTTGATTAGGATAAAGTTAATAATTTTTTTTAATGTAACTCATTCAGTGGTTCATTAATAGATATGTCTTATGTTAATGCCAATTCAAGTGATTTATTGACGTTTTCTTAATTTTAGATTTATTCCCATCACTTTCTCATTTGAAATGGAAATAACTCAATTCTTTTAAAGTTATCTCTAAATATTCTAATACTTTCTCCATATGTAATTTCTAATGGAAATAACTCAATTCTTTTAAAGTTATCTCTAAATATTCTAATACTTTCTCCATATGTAATTTCTTGTATTCTTTTACCCTATAAATATTATTAACGTCAAAGATTAAAGTTTCTAAATTAAAATCAATTAATGCTAAGGTATAATATTATAGTGTTTTATCATTTCTATGGATTTAAACATCTATCAATTAATGTTACGAATGTATTTTGGCTACCCCAACTTATTACTAAAATTATATGAAATTATTTTAATTTATATGGTGCTGATAATTTTTAATCTATAATATTTTTAAAAATTTTATCCATTAATTAGATGTTTTTAATCAATTCTTATTGTTTTTGTTTACCAGTATCAACTTAGACTATTCTTAGATGCTGAAAATGGATAGTAAATCCCAAAATTAGAAAAATTAATATATATATATATATATCTATATATATATATATATATATATATATATATATATAAATACCATAACAATTACACTTTCTTTGCCAAGTTTTAAAATTTTAACCCATTTTTTGTGGTTTGCAACTTTGAGGGTGTGATTTATAATTTTTAAAATTTTGAAAGAGTTTTTAAAAAAAATTACTTTTAAGTTTGGTTAGTTGTAATTCTATGTTTCATGTGTTGGTGGTAATTTTTTAATGTTAGTATATTTCTTGTAACTCTAAAATTTTGAGGGTGTCTTTGGCAATTATTAAAACTATAGATTAATTTTAAAAAATATTAAATTTTTAGCGGTCTACCAAATCGACGAATTTGATGTGTGCTAGTTAAAAATTTTAAAAATTAAGAGTTTTTTTACGATTTTTAAATTTTTAAGGAGTTTTTTAAATTTTGAGGTTAATTTTGGCAAATTTTAATTTTTTTAGGTGTCTAAGGGTAATATCTTGAATTTATCTTATTTTATTTATAAATTTTAGATTTTAGGGTGGCTTTTTATAATTTGAACTTTTGAAGGTGTTTCTATATTTTTGAGATATTGAGGGTGTTAATTAAAAATTTAAATTTAAATGTCAAAAATTTTAGTGTGTATCGATGGTAACTCTTGAATTCATCCGTGTTGTTTGTAAGTTTTAAATTTTAGAATTTTAATGTGCTTGTCTGTAATTTAACTTTTGAGGGTGTTTCTATAATTTTTGAGACATTGAGGTGTTAACTGTAAAATTTAATTTTTTGCAAACGATGTTAATTTTTTAATTTCATGTTTTTTATTTTAAGTTTTGAGATATTTGGATGAGTTTTATAATTTTGAACTTTTTAGGGCTTTTCTGCAATTTTAAACATTTTTATGGTTTTTCAATACTTCATGTATTATAATATGTTATCTATTTGTAATTTCTTTATCTAACAAACTAATATCATTTTTATGTTTTATGTATTTATTAATATTAGTTTTTTAAATTGTTAAGCTAAACATGGTTCCATAGGATTAGGATAAGATTATAATTATGATTAGGATAGATTAAGATATAAATAAAATATTCAAAATAGTGAAGGGTAATATTGACCATTGAAAATTAGAATTTGATTATGATAAGATAGTTCAAACTATAAAGGGTATATTTGTCTAAAAAAGTTTTTCCGAACTCGTGGCTTTTAAAGGGAGTATGATATATATATATATATATATATATATATATATATATATATATATATATATATATATATATATATATATATATATATTAAATATATTATATATATATTATATATATATATATATATATATATATATATATATATATATATATATAACACAAGTTTTTGCAGTATAATTATTTATTGTTCTCTAAGTACTATCTGTTTAATGTGCAGATGGGAAGAGGTTGGAGGAAATGTGATAATGAAATATCCAAGAATTCATGCACCCAACGGGCTACACATCCGCGTTTGGGACTACTGAACTCTTTAGATATAAAACATAATAAATGTTTGAGGACTGCTATTAATTTTTATACTTCTAGTTCTTGGGTTTGTTATAGTTTCGCTGGGAAAAGATTGAGTTTTCGTTATTTATTTGATTGTTGAACTGCATTTATCTATTGTGTGATTGGTTTGTGAACACTTATTATTGTAATTTTCCTTTTTAGTACCTTATACAAGTTAGCGTACCGGTTTGCTTTGTTTCTTTGTTCCTTTTTCTTTTTCCTTTTTTTAATCAAACAAGATTATTCAATGTGGTTTTTTTTAATCATTGGGTCATTGATGTAGCGGAAGCGTAATAAAAAAAAATAACTACTCATTCTTGTACGAGCAAAACGGTACAAACCCTAGAAACCCTAAGAATAGAAAACCTCTGAAATTAATAATAACCTATGTAAAGAGTTCACAAATTCATTCCCCTTATATAGGGTGTAAAACAATGCAAAAGTACTAAAATAACCTTTCTTAGAACAATTAAACTTCCTAAAATAAAAAAACGTTACATAAAAACTAAATTGAACCAAAACTCTTTGATGCGCAGGTTGAGCCTAAAGATGAATTCCCTTGAACCTGAAACTCGGTCGAAATGGCAAAGCCATTCGACTTGTAGAGTACTTCTCTAGCTTTCCAAAAACATATAATAAGAGTGATTCTATAGAGGGAATCAAAAGTTATGGTTTGTGGAAGTTGCACGTCGAAATCTGGCCGAAAATCATACTCTTTTCTTAGATCGTCCGAGCTTCGCACGATCTGATTTCTCCCAAAAGCCATCAGCAATGTCCTTCGCATCAGTCACACACCCAAAACACCCCCATCCATTTATTTTTAAACTCATCATCTCTGTCTATTTGTGTTTACTATATTTGATGAAAAGTATATTCCGAAAGTGTTTTCTAAGGGGGGGGGGGGGGC